ATTACTATCGTAGCAAAGTATCTAGTACTGAATTCAAAATTCTACTACATTCTCAATTATAAATATTACTATCTTAAATCCTAAATTTGCATAAAGTTCCGTAGTCTAATTACAATCTACAAATCTTGTTGTACTAACCACTTTCACAATGACTTATTCGCGGTTGCGGCCTCACAGACAATACTGTATTATTTCAAGGAACACAATTTCCACCGCAACGATGTTGTAAATAAGGTTTCAAAACGTACCTGAGAGTACTCATCTAATTTTCTGATATTTCAATCTCTCCAGAAAGTATCTATTAACTATTACTCTAAAAACGTGTGCCTTACAAGTCAAACAGAATTAATCGTCGACGGATAAATACGAACCGTCCAGAGGACGTCACGGATGAGAATGGGGCAGAAAAAAACGTCTGCGTCGGCGATTGGACACGGTGAAAAAGTTTTACTACAACTTGGCGATTCCAATAGTCGAGATACACCCTCCCCTCGCCTCAAGCAAAAAGTCATTACACGGTACGTGACCACGTAACAAATAGACCGGGGATACGCAAATCTCTCGGCTCTCTGCATCCTTGAATCCGTCGGAGAAGTCAACCTCTATACGAACGCGGCACGGGTAGACGAGTCATAAAGCGTGACCGGATGAAAGACGAGACGACCCGGGTGTAACGTGATATGCCCAACGGGCCGCGGAAATTTAATAAATACCGTGGCTCCACGAGTAATTAAACGGGCTCGGGAGCCCGTAACGCTCGGCGTTCCCTCGATCGAGAGAAAAATTGAAACGCGAGATCACGAGAAGATCCTACTTCGACCGGTTTCCCAGTTCGTTTATTGCCGGCTAGAAGGGTTTAATTGAAATATTAATTAATGGAGAGACGAGGAGAAAGAAATATTCCGAGGTTCGATGAAAAGTGAACAACTGAAGTGCCTGGTAATAAGGAAGTACGTATATACAGTAAATCGTTGATCAGTGTCCAAAGGCTCCTCGGCGTTGACAGAAGAGGTCCTCAGGTGTAGCGTTGATTTTTTAATGAGGTCTGGTATAATGATAGAGCGTGGAATTCCGAAGCCAATGATATTTGTTTCGGTCGTATATGGGAATTAGTTTATGAAATATTTAATGTTCAGTGCCGAGGAGTCTTTAGACAATAATCGAGGATTCACTGTAACGTGATATCATATGTACGAAGAGAAAAGGAAAGAATCTAGTATTTATAGAGAGAAAAAAAGATCCAAAAAAAGTATCTCTTCCTCGCGGCGCTGTAAGAAAACGAATGGAAAAGTTGGAAACGGTAAGAAGATACATTTATGCGACAGAAATTGAAGATTCCACGATCCATGTCCTCGTCGAAACAACAGAGGCCATCGAGAGAGCACAGGTAGTCTCTTTCTCTCTCGAACGACACGAGCCTCGATGGCTCTGGGATGCATTCTGCGTGTGCACGTCGGGAAATTATGCGTTCTTATGCAGCGGCACGTGCATCGTGGATTATGCAAGACGGGTATATAGCCCCGTGCCGATCGCGGTGAGCTGCTTAAAATGCTCGCCGCGAGCCGACGCGAGTTACCTTCGCCTGCTCTTGATCACGATCAAAATAAAGAGAAGTCGCGCGAAAGCCTGACGCGCCACCGAGAAGACACCTTCTTCCACCTAGCTGGAGGGGGAGAAGGAGGTCCCATTAAATTTTCATCGAATAATTCCCAGGGATCCGTGGCCGGGACACCGCGAAATCCCATCTCGATTCACTTTCGGTCCCGTTCATTTTTTATGACGGGGTTACTTGTATTTTTATCGACGCGGTCGCGGCTATTGCTCGTGGCTTCTCTTCTAAAGGGTGTCGGAAGAACGTTTGTTAATAGTGAAAACCCATTACAAACGTTGTTGCAAACCATGTTCTCTTTTATATTTAACAAGTTCATAAAAAAAAAAACACACAACAGTTTCTGATTCCATAAAAGAATTAAAATCGAACTCGATTAATTGTGATCACAGCAAATGCAGTTCTTGCTCAAACCAGCAAATTTCTGGATCACCGTATAAAGTATACCTGCAAGGTATATAATACCTATTATAGAAGACTTACCAAGGTGCTATGAAAGCATTGACCCACTATGTATTTTATCCACTCACAGTCTATTAGCAGAGGGACAAAAACGAATAGAAAAGATTCAACGATACGTAATTTCCATGGGAGATCGACGTGACTTGTTAGCCGTAGGCCGCGAAGCGCGGCGTCTCGTCTAGGAATGAACGGAAACGAGGATCGTTTGGTCGAGGTGAAAACCGGAGGGACGTGCAAACATCCACGCGGGACGTGAGAGAACGGGCCGAAGAAACGGCAGGCCGTGGTGGACGAGTAGATAGAGAGAGAGAGAGAGAGAGAGAAAAAATCAGCAACGGTTGGCGAAAAAGCCGTAAAGACTGGGACGTGAAACCGGGAAAGCGAGTGAACGCGCGATAATTGACGCGGCAAATGGAAACCGACGCTTGTTTGCGCGCTCGCATCCCGTCGAAAATCAGCCACGTGTTTTTCCCGCTCGACGATATTGTATCGCGACTGTAGGTTCGTTTCCAGCGACAACGGTCGCGATAAATTAATGGAATATAGATGTTTGATCAGCGAGCCTGATAATTATACACGCGCGCAATTCTTGTACCTTCGATTTTTGCGAAATGGTATCTGTATTAGCAATTTACGGAAGGCAGGAAAAATCGGGTGATCTGGAGCAAGAATGGATCACAAACGTGTGAGAACGTCTGGTCACCTAGGTACAATGTTACATGTACAAGAATCATACAGAAGATTATTGAATCTTTGTATCTCTGAACCCTTGAATTTTTAACAACTGTGAAACCATCAATATTTAGTCAAATTTGTCGCAAGGAAATGCAATAACTGGATACTTCTCAACGCTACTGTAAAAGCTCATCAAAGCCTAAACTGATCAATTTACTTAAACACACCATTACCAACAAATCCGGATGATTACCCAAGTGGAAGTGAAAAGTACCATTAACGTTAATCATCAAGCCGCACACAATTTCTTACGAGAAACTAGTTTCAATTCGTTATACAACCCGTCGACATTTTCTCTTCCCGGGACCAGTGACGCGATCCTAATCACACAGCGTTCTCGATCGAAGAAGTTACGGCTCGTCCCAACGAGTCAGCCAGAAACCTGTGGATAAGGGAATCGGCTCGGTTCACCATCAGAAAAATAATCGACTCCGCCTCGACCGCCGAGACAATGGTGAACATTCGACGAGATAGAGATAGAGAACCGAGAAAGCCAGGTCTCTGTTCAACGACTCTCTCGCCGTTGCGGTTTCCGGATGGAATTATACGAGAGCCACGAATGCTCTCGATGCGACAGAGAAACGAAGGAAAGCAAGCGCGTCTCTTTACAACCGGCTCTGCTTTATGATCTCGTTCACGAGCAAGAACAAAAAACCCCGAAGGGGGAGAACAACGGAGACGTTAAAAGAGTATCGTATTGTCGGGCGTGTAATCCCACTGTTCGGCTAATTTGTTTCGCGGAACGAATCGAGAAGAACCTGTTCTTGACCCGTTCGTTATGGTCAAGTGTGGACGAAAAGCGTAACTATGGCGAGCTCGTGCATAGTCAGTGTATGTACACCAGTTACAACGAAGTAATCTTTGAATCTTAGAATTATTGAATTTTTGAATGTTTGAATCTCTAAGTCTTTGAATTTTTTATAACTATGGAATCATCAATGTTTAGCCAAATTTCTTACAAAGAAATGCAATAACTAGATACGTTTCAACGCGAATGTAAAAATTTTGTAGAGCCTAAACTAATCAATTATCTTTAAAGACGTGAAGCAATTTAAATTTCAGTCGCTGGAGAACCGAATTCAATGTCGAATCTGAGATGGTCAAATTCGTTATCTGGATAAAAAGTTTGGAATAACGAATAAAAGATAAAATAGTACTTCGTCATTTGTAACCGTTTAAACATAGAAATTCCAATTTGTGTAATAAAATAATACTTCTTCTTGAATGAGTCGAAATTTGGCAAACAATTATTTAATGTCATTAACTGTTTAAAACTCAGGACTGACGCCCTTAGATACTGTAGCTTTTCATTATGTACCATTCGAATAAAATTACGCTCAACTCAGCTTTGGAGCGGTTTCGATTCTGACCTGGTTTCAATTTGTTCACGATGTTATAATTTAACTTATTTCAATGTTGATTATGCCGAGTAATTTCGTTTCACTTCGACGGCTAGATTCTCTGCCCGATTCGGTTTCGATTTCATCCTGGTTTTACGCCCGACTCGGTTTCAATTTTAACCCGGTTCTGTGCTCGATTCCGTTTGAAAATACATACTCGATATTAGCTGGATCGCGATTCAATTCGGTATTGATTCGAGTTTTGCTTTAATACTATTTGCTAGACTTCACTTAACCTGTTACTCAATCACTTATAATTTCTATATTTCTATCGGTCGAGAGTTCTAAACAGAATTCAGTATAACTCTGATCACTAGACTGCGGATATTTATACAAAATCACAATTTTAGACATTAATTTATAACTGTAAAAATGAGATAAAAATTTATTTCCTGCACTAGATGTCTTATTACGTTGATAATACATAAATACCTCTAAATTTTATTGTAGTCTTTTTTTACTATACTTCACATATTAAAATTTGCTATAACTGCATAAACATCAGCAGTCTACTTATCACTGTCCAGCTACAATGTTGATTACTAATGAAAAGGTTACAAACCAGGCCACGTGCGATTAATAGTAAAATAAAAGGTATGAACAAGCAGTTTGTAAAAATCATAATCAACTTACCCATCGTGGATCTCGGTTCTCCCCAAGCGGGCCAGCAGGCCTTCTCCATGATTACTTTCGCAGCGTTCGTTACATGACGTTAATAACACGTTAATACGGCTTTCACTTCAACACTCGGTTAATTTCCACACTCTGTTAGTAGAGAATCATCTTCACCACTCTTATCTCTGTTTGCTCCCTTTCCAGCCGATCTGAAAAAATTCCAAGAGAGGCTCGATCAGCTGCTTCGTTCCTTTGTTTCCTACGGACCTACGATATACATTCCCCTGTCACCTAGGCTATATTACAATACCAGTTTTAATTTCGTTCGATATATCGTGTCGGCTATTCGTGGATTAACAACGAGATTTCACGTCTGAATGGACACAATGGGAGACGGAAAATCGCGCGAAAACGGGATTCGAGGAGGCCGACGGAATTCGCGGGATCGATGAAATATGCAGAAACAAACGCGAGTAGCCTCGTGGTGTATAGATCGAACAATGAAAAATGCGTCGAACGAGCGGTGAATTAAAATTGGAAAACGCAGGGGACACCTAGGCGATGACGTGAGATCGATCAATTCGTAGGGGGAAAAATGGAAAGAACGACTGCGTGAAGCTGAAAAATCGCTATCACTCCGCGCCACTGGTGTATTTTTATGGAAACGAAATTACTGCCATCGATCAGGTTTTGATGTAGTCTAGTTTCTTCCAGATACAGACTCTATTTCCTTCGTCGGATCCAGGTATATACAGAGTGGAACTCGACGGTATCCAGAAACAGCTGATGGAATTTTTTTCAAATTTCACTTTTCTAGTAAGGAGTGCTAAAACAAAAGGATAAGTGAATATATTACGTTTTGTTTAATTATGGTCAGTTAAGATTTATGCAAAGAATTTGTCGAGACCAGCTTTTAAGAGAAAATATTCTTACAGAACAAGATCACCGTTTCAAGTTTCGAGAGTTTCGAGCTCTTACAAAGTTTTGGATCGGAGTTTCGAGACTGTAAAAATTATATTTTCATGTTAAAATAAATATTATTACTTTTCGGAAACGGTGAATTACTTTTTATTACAAACATTAGTGAATTGTTCCAGGGGAACTGAATCTACAAAAGTGTACAAGATAATTTACGAACGAACAGGTGAGACGAGTACCTCTAGAAAAAATGGTAACTAAGGTGTGCGAAAGAGTGCACAAGTACGTCCGACGAGTTCACGCGAATGCACCAGAGTGGCGGACAGGCTATCGATAAACCCAGTTAGAAGTAGAGAATCAATAAAGAGTTGAATTACGGCTTTTAGATAAGCAGGTGTTAAAGATAAGTCGTCGAAGGCACCACCGCCAGCTCAGGAGCGTTTATTGCAACGATAGGCATCCCCGGAGGCGCGCGTTACGAGCGACGTAGTTTTTCGACGGGACCATTACGAGGAGGAAGATTATCCGTGTCCTTGGGCACTAACTGCCAAGAAATACGACGAAACAGAAACCGTTCGGGACCGACGATAACGAGTGATTACGTTATATAGCGATCTATTAAATATTCTCAGACCCATTAAAGACAGATCGCAATTTACGTTCGCGAATATCAATTGTTATGCTCGAACTAAAAACAGCTTAACAGTAAGTAGATCAATAATATAGAGGAAAACTTAAATGTTCCTCGTCTCAATTAAGTACATATGAAGGGAGTACGCTCCTTTTTTTATTAAATTAATAAAATTAGGAGGAAAATATTAAACACACTCAAATAATTTTTTTCGCTGATCCCAGAGTTAACGATCTTTCTGGTTTGTTTAAGCTTATAAATGATCAGATCTTATGTCCTCAACTGTTGCAGCTTGTTCATTTTTTTACTTCAAAGTATGTTAGAAAGAGTCATATTCTTTATTACGATATCCTATAAGCTAAATATGATTCGAGTGATTCAATTTATCGAATGCTGAAATCAGTCAATAAATGTATGGATATGATTGATTTTTGCAGCGGCTCTATTGATTACTTTAAAAAATCCTTATATTTCATAGAATGAATTCCTTACTATATACTACGTTCCTGTAGCTGTATCTTTTTTATTTCATACTAACTGTTCTTATTTCTGTTTTTATTTAACTAAATAAATAAATATACGACATTTATCATGCGCAGCTGCCTCGATACGACAAATGATAAATACTCTGAGACCTCGATTGTGAAAATTCAAGGCGTTGAAGTTCTAATCATCGCAAAATAATCGATTAAACTACTTGCTTGTGGTCCAAATTCAGGTCAGTATCAATCCGTGAGAAACTATTTAGCTGTTAAAATCGTGGACATTATTCGCATATATACAAGCGATATGATAAAAATATTTCCAATGATATATTATACGTTTTGTATCCAATAAACGAAATCCTTTTTAATCAACGTGGATTAATAGTCGTTGATCATACGAAACGTAGATATAAATCCATGCTTAGTGGGTGTGTTCTAATGATCGATATTAAAACGCTGGCCGCGGTAAAATCGCGAATGTCGACGCCGGAATCGTCGCCAGGTCGATTGATCAGAAATTAATAGGGCACAAGTAACGCGGCAAATTTACAGGCAAATATTTTCGCTGGTGATTAATATTCGCTCGCGCAAAGGGAGGCTAGGGAAGGGGGAATCGGAGTTCCGAATTACCTCGCTGGTACCGTTAAATTATTTGCGCTATCTTTCCATTACGTTCCATTGATTAAACCATCGAGCCACCTTTACAGAATCGTTTTTAGCCGACGATAAGCCACGGCTATTATGTTTTTTTTTTTTGCTATTGTTCTTTCGACGCGATTTATTGTCCGCCGTAATTCTCATTTCACGCATTCGTACCTGGAGCCTAGCGATTAAATCGCTGGGAAAGATTTTGATTTCTCTTGATGACGCGTTTATTTAATGAAATAATCCTGTGACAAGAATTTAAGGGAAATATCGAGGCAAACTGAAAAGTAATGATCCTATTATTTGGGATTTCTTTGTGGTAACATTCTTTCAACATTACTTTAGCAGTAGTATTAAACGAATGTTACTGAAAAGAAATCCCCAAATAGAGGATCTTTATTTACCCAATAAAGGGGTTCATTTTTATTTTAATCACACTACATAAGAATTGAAAATTTTAGGGTAGTTTTATAGTTATGCTACGCAGTGTATATGTCAGTGATAGGTATTGTGAGTACTACCTTTAGAATTCAGAATATATAATGTTTCCTGCCCAGTTTTCCTTTACAAAGACGATCACTAGGCGTCGAAGTGGGACAAAAAGAGAGCTCTCGGATCGAGGAAGGAGGCGTTCGCGTTTCGACGAGGGATTTAAAACGCAAATTCTCTTTGTTAAACGCGCGACTAAAGATAAAGAAAGCATAACGAACGAGCCAAACGACCAGCGACACGAAGGAAAGTTGGGGCAACGAGCTGTCTCGAAAAGCGTATCGCGTAAAATCGCCGACAGGTACAACGAGAGAAATGTCAATGATTCTGTACCAGCGTCGTGGAGAGACGTAAAAATTTAACGACATCCTGATCGTGAAACAGGGATCACGAAGAAATAATATCGTCTTGATACAAGATTAATCAACCGATACAAGATTAATCAATTAAACTCCAATCCAGGTGAACATGATTTCATCGTAAAAAAAAAAACAATAATTGTCCAATCGAATTTTCGAAAATAAATACAACTTTGTCAAGAATATTACGTTCGCAACTAATAATACTGCGTCGCCCTGCATTCCAGTGAAACGATCCTTATGATCTATCTATTTGAAGACAGTTAAAAGTCAGTAGAAAATAAATTAAAAATTCGTAAATATTCGTACAGAATTCAACGACATTTCCGTTCGATAAGATCGAGGAAATAATCCGAATGGAATCTCCAGGATCTGAGCGGAATTTACGAACGAAAAGTCTGTTTAGATCGGAGAGGATTAACGTTAAAGCGACCCCGAGAATAAGATATATTTTATTTCCGACATTGCACCCGGCGAAAGAAGAAAATCCTCTAACTAATGCCCCACGAAGAATCCACGCCCGAGCCTCTGTCAACCACGCGTACACCTTCTAAGAATTTAATTCCATCTCATCGTGATCAACGACACCGCAAACGCGACTGAAAGTAATTCCCGCCGAAATTATAGGACACGGACTCGGTGGAATCTCGTGTTTTTTCGGTTTTACGCCCCCAGGAATTTCATCCTTGTGTACTTAACTTCTTTCGAGCAATTAGCAGTTTCGATCTTACATTTTTTCTAAGGGATCTAATAGAAATTTCTCATTGCTTACGATATACACGTGGTAGAAATGATGTATTGGGATCGATTAAGTAGATTGGTAGCTAAGGTACTCGTATATTGAATATATAATATGATTATTATTGAACAGTATTCCACAAAAGAACACCAGTCAATTACCAATATAATCTTCTCAAAGTGCTCAAAATGCAACCCTGCATACGTGGTCTGGGTTATGTACCGTTTTCCTCAACTAACACAGAAAACTCCAGGCAGCAGAAGAAACGGCAAGATTGCGAAACAGTGTACGGTTTCAACGAGCCGGAGTCGCGCGGTTGAATGAAATTAAACGGACACTTTTCCGCCGGCGTGGCGGGTTGCACAACGCGAAAACGGTTGTGGAATCTCGCGGTCAACGTTCTCGTACAGCCAGAGGCGACGGTTCTCGTTCCACCATAGACGACACCGCCAGGTGATTAGAACCTGTCGCGAGATTCCTTTCCCTGTATTGCACACACTGTCGTTCTTAAGGAACCATACGCCCATTTCCCCATGTTTATAGACTTTTTTCCATGGACAGTAGGTGTTAACACACCAGAGTTGAAGAAGAAACTTGTAAAACACCAGCAGAACCAGACACTGCATGGATTAACTATAAGATGTCCCGAAAATTCTCAATTCTTATGTATTCTAGGTAAAATAAAAACAAACCAAGTATGCCATGTCTGAAATCGTGTTGAGAAATAATGTTTCCTAGAAGAAAGTGGGCCCTTAATTGTTTATTTATTTATTTACGGGTTAATTCCCATTGCAATGCAAGAGAAAAAAACTGTAATCATATTTATATAAAATATAAACTGGACGAATATTAAAACTGAATGAAATATATAACTAGAGAATACAAAAGAGAATAACAAAATGGTATTTGCACAGAGAAAAGCAAATTGGTATCTACAAGACGT